ACTAAATATTTTTTTATTTTTATAACAAAACAAAGACTATAAATTATATTTTAACATATATTTTTTCTGATAAAGTTGTTCTAATTGCAAAGTCATTGCAAAAATTTTTTATAATAACTTTGTAATTAAAACAACTTTATCAGAAAAAAATCTAAAAAATTCAGAAAAAATATATTTTAAAATATAACTTATAAATTTTTTTGCTATAAAGTTAAAGAAATATTTATTAATTAAAACTTTTATAAAATAAAAATTTCAATTTTTATTATACAGTTAAACCTCTCTATAGTCATATTTGTTTATAATTACACCTCTCTATAGTCACTTTATTTTGTTTTCTTATTTACATATAAATATAATAAAAAAATTCTCTTTATAGTTATATTTCTTTATAATCATCAAATTTTGTTTTTCCAAGAGTGATGACTATAGAGGATTGACTATATTTTATTAATAAAATTATATACAATTTCATGATTTATATAATAAAATTAATATAATTATTGCGATCTCATTCTGGAAAATAGTTCTATTTATGAACAAAAATTACTTTCATCTTTAAATAAATCGAAAAGAAAAAGAAATAGAAAAATTATCACTTCTTGTATACATTGGTATATTTCTGAGCTCTTCTTGATTTTATCAATTATATTGAATATAGAATAAGTATTAATTTTAGTATAGAAATTGATTAACATAATAAAGCATTAGTTAATCTATTAATATAATAAAGTTGGTTATATAAATGTTTTTTATATGAAATCTTTTGGAAAAATTCTAGTCTCGATTAATCATTCAAAACAGACAACAATAAATTTTCTCACAATTAAATAATGAAACATTTATGAATCAGGATTAAATGAGCCAAATCCTTTGCCCATTTTTTTGGCGTGCGCATTCTTGCGATTGTGATTGCCCCCTCGACCTTTCTTTTGTGCTCTACCGCGTGACGTTCCAGGTACCTCACCTCTTCCTCTGCCGCGAGATTCGTAAGAGGAAGTGCGTTGATGATCTAATGATGAGCTACCTTCCTCTGTTTCACTAATATTTATTTCTTTTTGTTGTCCTTTCCACTCGTATTTTTCCAAAAGTTTATTTTTTCTTGGCTTTTTTGTAAATAATTATGATCAATATTATTATAACAAAATATTAGAAAATATTTCTGAATAATAGCCAAGATAAATTATACTTACATTTCTCTGGAACATGATAAACCAGCCCTCAATTTGCTCGTCAGTCATCTCTGTAATTCTACAAAGTTGTTCACGCTTTTTAGATTTTCTTGTAGCGTTGGTTCGTTCAAATACCGAAGGATCATTTTGATACATTTTTATCAATTCACTTTCATGCAAAACGCCCGGATCAATCTGATTAAGTAAAAATTTTAGAGAATAGCTTTTATAATTAATTTAACGTAAAAGACAATAAAATCTATTTCACACCTGATTATGTCGAGATGGTCCAGCTTCCGACTCTTCCAACTCGTCCAACAGATGTATATCAAATGCTCCTGTTTGTAATCCACTTGTATCATAGGTATCATCATATTCGTCTTCGTAGAGACTAGTGTAGGCACTTTCGATGATCGATTCCTTGTACGATTCGACAAATGACTTGTCGTCCAGCATTCTCTGAGCGGATCCACGACTTTCAACAGCAACAATATCAGCCATAACAATCACAAGATTATAATTTGATTGAGGGGCAAAAGTCTAAAATTAAATCTGGACCAGAAACGCAAGGCCGAGATTGTAAGGTTGACATACTTTTTTTTACCCATGTGGACACGCGACGAATCGAGTTGTTTTCCAGCGAACACGTCAAATTCATCATTATCAAAAATGTTGCGACGATTTGCAAGTGGACTTTCTGCTATTAGTTTTGATATAATTTCGGTATAATCATGAACCATTTCAGATAGTATATAGCATGTATAGTAGTAATCAAGAAAACGTACCTTCAATATTTGATAACGTGCCATCTTTTTCATTGGAACGTGATGGTAATCTATTTACCAAAAATGTGACAATAAAAAAGCAGACTATGTAGCGTCTATAAATAATGATATATTTTAAATTCATTTCAAACCTTGGCAAGGAACGATCCAATTTAACAAGCTCGTCTGGGAGATTATTCTCTAATAAATGATCAACCACAGTCTCTGGATTTTCATTCAATGCAATTAGACAATGCTCTATAAATCCTTCACCAAGTTCAGGAAACAAATCTTTGACTTGAGAAATCAAAGATCCACGTTTAACTTCGTCATCAATTGATTTCTCCACCTGAAAGTAATAAATGTTAGTTATGTTGTTTCCAAACATAATAAGAGATCATTATGACAAAGCACTTGTTAATAATACCTTGACATTTGATTGTGCAGGTGATGATTTTATCACATTCTTCAACTCTCCATTTGTCATTGTAAGCAGTCTATGGGTTTTGATACGATCTGATCTTTTTTGCCTCGGCGGAGCTTCCTGGACCATATTACGCATCATTTCGAGGGATTTATTAATGAAATCTATTCGTGCATCATCCGTTTGTATACGTTAAGATTAACAATAACAATGCAATAAATTGAATTCGATAAAGAATAAAAACGATAATTTAAGAAAAGGATATCCATCAAGAATTTGATCTTTTATTCGCGTCAACTTTCCACTCAAATTAAATTCAATCTCCAAATCCAAGAGTAATGGTGCGTCCACAAAAGAAAGCACAGGTTTCTCTAACATTGATTGTTCAGATAACGATAATAAAATGTCACACATACGATCAAGAGTCCCTTTTATTTTCTCCTGATCAGTCAACTTTTCATCACCAGAAGCAATAAATACTAAGGAATTCCCAATTTCAGCAGTGAACCCTAAAGGACTGAAATAAGATGCGTCAAAAGTATGGTATATTAATGATACCAACGCGTGCTTTAAGATGTTTAAAGCTCTCATGATCTCTTTAGATGAATTCTCTGGATCTAGTAGATCAGAAATGGCTGGGATTGTAGACTCGTAGAGTTGGTTAATTGCCATCAGAATGCCTTGATTCTCGTCGTTTCCTTGATGATTAGTGAAAATATTTGTGACTGGTTTCGAAATAGAAAATAGACAATCTAAAGATATAGCAACATCAATTATATGCATAAAGTATGTTCGAAGATCGGCATCATTATTCACAGCGCCATTGTTCGCGGCACTCCCAACGGAAATTTTCAAGCTTTCAATTCTCTGACTTAATGATCTGATATGATCAAGTATGACACCGGAAAAGTTTTCGAAATCAAGAAGCAAATTCGGTACCAATTCAACTGCATTGCTAAACATTCGTTGTGCATGGGTGTAATTCGACTTCGCATAGATCACAAGGAAATCCAAAAGCAACGGCACTGAAAGAAATTTGCTCTGATACAAGGAAGCAGCCAAACTCGTTGCTTCTGTCGTAGAATGCACCAAAATTCGAGGTTGAGTCAAGCGTAACATTACGAGCATAACCTTTCTCTCGAGTGCAACTTCGACTTCTGGCATCATCTGTTTATCGATAGCAGCGCCTAACTCGTGAAATCCGGCTCGTGTCTTTAAAAATGTCTCTAAAAATGTCGATAAAGAATCATTTTCAAGTATTTGGTTGGCGAACTCGTTATCTAATAATTTAAGTAATAAGGAAAGATTGGCGTTCCATATATTGAAAGCCTCTTCCCAAACAACTTCTGTAATGTCATGATTGACATGCCTATTTATGTACGGTGGAAAAAGTATTTTTTTCATTTGGTCAGTCATTTTCTAATACTGCGTATATTAACGTTTCTCATTAAATAGTAATCGATCAACCAAAAGAAAAGATTACCCAAAATTCTTGGTGTTACAGGTCACGTGTAAATATACTAATCAGGTGATATCACCTGATAGTGCATTCACAGGTTACATAATCTGTTTGTAAACTTTAAATACTAAAAACAAGTTATAATAAATCTATTAAAACTTGTGATAATATTAATAAAATTTTATTTAATAATGCCATAAAATTATCAACCAAATATAAATTAATACTAATATTAATCACTTTATGATTATTATATGCAATATTGTATAATTATTTGTAATGAACAAAATATCTTATTCTTTAGAATATTAACATATCCTAATCCAATTCCAAAATGCTTTCTTGCATTTTATTTCTTTTCTAATATTTTTCTTTTTGTGATATTAATGTTGTTACCTGCTTTTTTTTCAAAATTTGATAAATATAATTCTTCTTAGCTTAATTTTAGCAAAATAAGTTCTATTTCACTAATAAATAGAATTTATATTGAAAGTTCATTATTTTTTTTTCATGTATTCTCAATTTATTCTTGATTTCTTTCACAATTGATGAATGAAAACATATAATTGTTGATTTTGCGCATATAAATGGTCTTCCCATTCATTATTCCAATCCTGATGATTATCTAAATTAATAAAAAAAAAATATATTATCATTATTAATTTATAAAAATATTTCCAATTTAATACTCTTTACTTTTATATTCAGAACAGATGCAAGAATTGTAAGAATGTAAGGAAGTTTTTCTGCATTATCCAGAACTTCCATTAGTTCACCACATCGAATCCTATAGATGTAACCTTTTGGATTGTCCAGGTAGACCGTCATAATCATCAAACCTATAAATTATATTAGCTAACAGCGAGAACCTGATGGATTCTTACAGACACAAGGACATACCAGCGTGAATTATTCCAACCGTTTGAATTTTTGCATGACTTTCTTCATCCCGGCCTGCTTTCTCCATCAATTTTACTAATATATCCTTGAGTGTCTTAGGTAGCTTTAATCCCGCCTCCTTGAGAAACTTCGTTCCATTTTTATCCACCCAACTTCCTTCCGGCTCCCCAGTTCCGAACTCATCTCTATCGCCATTACTAACAGATCTCAAGATCCAATCAATCCTGCGACCCATTTTCCGCTGTTCTCCTGACAGTCTTTTTATATTTTTCGTGACGCCGATGCCAAGCTTATACTTTCCCTCTAAATTATTAAAAGAAACCTGTTAGATATATCAAAGCAAACTATATATATTTTTTTTTAGAAAGTTACCTGACGACAGATATCGCATTTACATCTCCAAAAGCTTGATCGAAGACCACGTTCTACGTGGCAATTAAACCAAGCTTCAAGATTTGCGTCTTTCAAGCTTCCACTTTGAATTTCTCTTACTCTATAAAAACAGATTTAGTCAATTCACCATTGGTGCATCTAAAGGACTATAATAATATCTACATCATGTGCAAGCCAATCACAAGAACAGAAATACTTGCAATGAATATAAAGCATAGATTATGTAATCCTTATCATGATCTTTTTCATGATCACAATTATCGTCAAACATCATTTCCTCTATGATCTTTCAAATCTCCTTCAAGCTCGTCTACAACAGGAAAAGAGGTTGATAACTTGTCGCGGTACATATATCTTTGTCAGTAACGTATTAACTTGTCAACGAATTTGTTTAGAAATTCAGTGATTTCGTCTGAGAGCTCGGGTACCTGTGGGCCAGGGGCGCAATCAATTTCATCTAGTTGAAATGCTGGCTAATTATCCCGTCGATATCCAAAATAAAGGAATGAACGGCACTAGGAAATAAAAACTACAGTTTAGTACAGTTTTGTTTTCCATAACACAGTTACTACCGAAAATCCACTATATAAACACTGACTGCTCAAATTTTAACTTCTTCCCCAATTCGAATAATTCTTCCTCGACATATTTTCCTGTTGAAAGTCTCCACATTCTCTCCTTTTTCATACCATTAAATGTCTGCTCAATCATCTGTCGGTGTTCCTCAGTGAGGGGGAAGGACCCGTCTACGTGGATTTGTGTTAATTTTGTCAACTAGAATTTACGAAAAAAATTACCTTTTATTTTCTACATTATCTTTGTTGTAATCGTCATCTCCAGATAAATCGGAGGCTAATTCATAATAATCACATACTTTTTTCCAGTTCTCGTTCGACGTTGATTTTGTTCTGGCTGATATATTTGGTTTTTAGGTGTTCATTATTTACTTTTTCTATTTGGAGATTTTGACGTTTGTACGAAGCATACTGGCTTGATCCTCAGGATGTCGTTTATTTATAGTGGAAATAACTTCATCGGAACTGGAGAACCTTGCTTCATTAAGAACCTTTACGCCTTCTATTACATGATTTTTCCCGGTATTTCTCTATTTTTGGCAGGGTTAAATAGAGATGGAGCATAGTTAGTATCAATAAAGAATTATTTTTTGATAATAGTTCTGTGTTAAAAAATATTAATATTAGAATGCCACAAACTATACTAACCTTTTCACGTTCAAGAATAATATCTTGAAAAAATGATTTCTTTTGCCGACGTTTATTATCTTTATCCTGTTAACGAATCGTAATGAGAAAGCACTGAAAACTTCAGTAAAACCTCTGGATCGTACTATATCATAAGACATAACTACAACCCAGAAGCGCCCTTACACCTGATGCTGTTGATTCAAAAAGAAGCTTTTTTGGAGTTATAAAATTTATACCTTGGCATGATAAATATACCTGTTATACCATGTACCATCTAAACCGCTCCAGTCTTTAGTATCTGGTGGTGAATTGATGATTATTTCTTTTAATTCATTTAAAAAATGTTCATAATTGCATGTTTTTCTATTGTGAGTTTCAAAATATTTTAAAACAGCTATAAAGAGGATCAGTTTATGAGAACAAATCGGCAAAATTCGAATGCTTAACGAGCTTACCGTTGTTTCCAATATAAGATTCAGCCTTTTTTTTTTGGTTTCGATTCGGTACGTACAAGTTTAAAGAATTTTTTTAGTATACACGACGAGTTGGTTAATTATACATGTACATGTATTTGGATTTACAGAAGGTCGTTCGATTAAATCATGCATGCAGAAGTTCCATGACCTTAGCACAGGTTGATCGAACATCTGTGTCACGCAAGCAAATTTTCGTTGCGTCAATTTTAATTATTGCTAAAATTCTATTGGCTGATAAAATGTAATGTGCTTTCTTAATAATTGGCTAAATTTTTCTGCATTACTATTGGTCAATCTTTATTGATATAGATGATTACTATTCATTTTTATAATAGCTTCTTTATTTTAATAATATGTAATTTTTTTTTAATATCTTAAAATTTTAACTCTTTATCGATAATCACAAATTGTCATTGATATTCCAATTCATTAATATTTTTTTCAAATAAGATATTATCATTTTTATTGAATTTCAAAATATTTATAAGATTTTAAAGAAATATTCAAGAAAAACTTTCAATATCTTAATAATAATTCAAAGTATTAATAATACTTTATAATTATTAGACTGAATAATATTAAAAATACTAATGACAAAATCACTTAAAATTAATAACAATTGTATAGCTAGAAAGTGTTCTCAAAATCTCAAAGTCAAATATATAAAAATTATAATATTTGTATTATAATAAATATAATTCAAAGACAGATTTATACAGTGGCTAACATAATTATGGAATCACGTGTTCAAATTTATTAATAAAACATAGTAAAAATTGAAATTTTCTTTCTATATTAAAAGTTT